TACCTTCCTCAAAATCCTTCTCGATCATATTGACTGTTGAACCATCGTGTGTTGGTAAGGGCTTTTTAGTGATATTCAAACCAACAACTTCAGGTTCTAATGCAATTTTGTACCTCTTTTGCCTCTATCAAATCTTGAACACAATGCCTTAAAGCCAGACAATTTTCAAGGTCATGCCCAACACCTACGCTGTGATATTCACATCTTGCTTGTCAATTGTACCATGCTGGAAATGGTGGTTTTACTAGCACCATAGGTACAAGAGTAACAATTCTAGCTACTACTAATTGTCGAAACACTTTAGTATATGATAGAGGAGGCTTGTCAAAATGTCATCTCACTTGTTATGGATGATTGACCCCAGAGGCATAAACGGGCCTTGGTTGGCTTGTAAAAGCTGTTGATTGATAAGTTGAAGCTTCGAGCCGATTGTCAAACTGCCCACATGACTGTTTATTTCTTCCATATGCCTCATAAACTAAGCTTATAGTGCCATTCTCATCTTCCTTCTTTCGATTCTGGCTAACCTTCTTTGAACTAAAAGCCCTTGAACTATCATTTTGGTATTGTTCAAGGAGACTCTTCATTGCTTGATAATCCATAATAATTCCAGACTTGATTCCATCCTCCACTTGTTCTCCCACAACAACCAACTGGGCAAAAGTGTAATTCACACAAGTTATTAACTTCTCACGATAAGGTCTTTTGGTTGACTTGATGAACAAATTACTTAATTCATGATCAGTCAGTGGAGGTTGAACTCGAACAACCAACCCACGCCATCTCTGAGCAAATTCCTTAAAGTTCCCACTTGGTTTCTTTTTCGCTTTTTGAAGATCCTCTCTACTAGGAGTTAATGACGTGTTCTATTCATATTGCTTCATAAAGTTGTGAGTCAAATCATGCCAACTCTTAACTTTGCTCTTGTCTAAAGTTGAGAACCAAGTATCTACAAGACTGGTCAGATTGTCCTAAAAATAATGTATCATTAGCTTCTCATCATTGGCATAAGGAGCCATCTTCCTACAATACATTGTCAAGTGAGCATAAGGACAACCGATGCCATTGTACTTATCAAATTTAGGCAATTTAAACTTATGGGGCAGTTGAATGTTTGGGAAACAGCACAAAGATGAGATGTCAACCAGTTTATTGGTTGGGACACCTTACATCGATTTTAGTGTTTCCTCTATCAACTACACCTTCACTTTAATTGCCTTGTCTTTATCCTCTATGATCGGCTCGACAACTTGAGTCTCTACTTGATCATTTTCATTAGACTGAATTGTAGCAACACTAGCATTTAGAACAAAAGGTTTTGTCCCAAAAGCTCCAACAATGGTCAGATTTGGTGGGCAAGATGACATTGGCCTCTTCCCAAGAGTTGAAGCAGATGTGGCCATAGGGAGATTTGCGACAAAAACATTTCCTTCAAACAAGGGATTTGTTGTCAAAGGTGTCCTTGTGACTAAGGTTGCTTGAAGAGATTGGAAGGAAGCCATCAATTCCTTCAAGGCATTTTCCATATTTTCAACACGATTTTCCAGAGCTACCTTCTCTAAATTAGCTTCGTCAACCATCTTCCTTACAAGAGCTCTAGTGAGAATAGGTGAACGAACTCTTGGATAATTCTTTTTAGGACCAATCTTTCAGCACCTAAAGAAATATAAGCATTATTAACAAATCATGGATTTATCTAATTAACATTTTGAAATATAAGTTCCCAATGTTTCCATTAGATAAATGGATGAGTAAATCTATCCTCTAATTATTTGTTTTAGACATGGGTTCTTCATCGTCAAGAACAACTTTAGCCACTTGCATGTAAAGGGAAGGAGAAATTAGAGCCAAGTAACTGTCACACAAGCCAGAATCATGAGGGGATTGCCCCCTTCATGACCCTTTTGATTTTTTTTTTTTTTTGAAAAGAAAAACAATGAGATTGCCTCCTTCATATCTTTTCTTCTCTTATATTGAGGAACTTGCTTTTTCTCAACAAATAGAATTCAAGAAAATGTGAAATTTGACTTCAAAAGCTCAACCTCAACCATTTCAAAATAGATTCCATTGATCAACTTTTGAATTCATTGTTGGGTGACTAAATAATAATTGAAACTATTTTTTAATGATGAGCACGAATTTAAACTCAGAGGAAAAAAAAAAAAAAAAGCAACGAAGACATAGGACATAAAATCTTAGGATTGCCCTAATGATTTCCTAGTCCAACTCCACTTGCAAGATGTCAACTATTCTGCCAAATCTCTTGTCAAACCTCACTTTGTCAAGATTACTTAGACTATTCCAAGCAATAACCAAGTCTTCTACACAAGGTCTTTTGGTTTGCACAGAGAATCCATCCTTGTGTTACTTGTTCCTCTCAGATAACGACGAACATTCTAACTCTAAATTCACCCTTTTCCTCTTGTTGATTTTTTTTTTCTCCAAAGAATCCATGTGTAAAATAATCAATTACCTATTTATTAAAGAAAAGGAAAAGGAGAGTTAATAAATTTCATACCTCTTAGTCAAAATTCCACACCTACAAAACATTGTTTAAAAAATAAAATACTCCCTACGTGTCCTATGTATAAGGTTCCTAAACTTAGAAGGTGGTTTACTAGGTTGGCTGTCTTATGGTTAAATTTTATCTAGGTCCATTACATGCGATTTCCTAGTGGATCATATACGATTAGGCTTTTTCAATTGCTAACTTCCATAAGTCAACAATTATTGACTCCCACAAAGTCAACAATTGCCAACTTCTATAAAGTTAGCAAGAGGCATTTCATGACCTAATACAATAGCAGCATTATGGCTGTCAGGCCATATCAACCCACAAAATGAACCTAAAAGAGATAAATCCCACTTCACAAGGAAAGCATTGCGCTTTGCATTGCTCCATGAGTTATCCATCTATCTAGAAGTCGCGTTCACCTTATCAAGGACAAAATGATATGCAAGCGTGGTATGTGAGGGAGTATACACATAAAGTTAACATATAAAAAAAAAAATCAAAAGCATAAAATAACAAAATAAAACTTACAAGGTACTCCATGCCACCTACAAGACAAAAGTTAGTAATTGAAAAACCCCAAAATTAAAGTATAAATGGCTTGACCCCCTAATGTCCCTAGTGGAGTCACCAAACTGTTGACGTGCTAAAATGGATGGAGTCACCATCTATCCAAATGAGGTGGAATAGATTACCAAGGTCTACGTAGAAATTAACTAGACTCAGAGGGTTGGTTAAGCGTGAGGAAGGTGCTAGGCACCCCGCAACTTCCATATAATATGGTTACCATATTCTTTAATTTTGGGGACTTTTTAATTTGATATCAAAATAATAATTTCCAAAAAAAAATCACTTAAATAAAAAAATCTGTCATTTACCTTTTGTTTCTCCGTTTTTGTTTTTTTCTTTTTTTTTTCTTTTTTTTAAAATTTTTATCAATAACAATTACCAAAAAAAATCACTTAAAAAAATAATAACAATAAATAAATAAATAAGTACAGTCATCCATTGGCTTTCCTTTTTTCTGTTTCTGTTTTTTTTTTTGCTTTTGTTTCTTCTTCTCTTTTTTAAAATTTTTCTGCACTCTTTTCTTTCCTCGGCTTTCTTTTCGTTTTTTTTTTAATGCCTAAACCTACTTCATATTTCCTAAGAAAGTTTCCTTTTCCAATTTTTGTTCTATCTAATACATAATAGATCTTAAAAATTCACGAATAACACTAAACTAACTTTTCCTAAAACTAAAAAAAATGTGCGAGTGATTACTTTGCATTACAGGAAACAACCTAATATGGGGAAAATAAGTGAATCATGTTTGCAACAAAGACACACTAAACTTTTCCTTTCTCAAGATCAGTTGTAGACAAACCATGAAAGAAACAGTTCAAAAAGGAAACCAATCAATTACCAATAACCAAGAAAGGAAAAAGAAGGAAAGAATATGATAGAAAAAAAACACCAAAAAAAAAAAAATCATGAACAATGCACATCTTAAGAAAATAGGAAAAATCAGACTTTTTTTTCTTGAAGTTCTGGATACAAGCTTCAAAATTTTCCCTTTTTCTCTGCTCTCTTTCTCCCTCTCAATCTCTCCCAATTTTCTTCTTTTTTTTTAATCTAAAGCCAAAGGCCCCCTTTTATAGACAAAGGGAAAAACCCAATTCTAATTCACTTTTAATTTCCAATGCAAATCCCTAAGATAACAACCCAATCCTATTTGGAATGGGATTTCTTAGTTCTTCCCACATCTACCCCTTTTAAGTCTAAATTCGTACTTTTTATGCATTAGGACTCCCACCTTGAATCAATTTCAGACTCTCTAAAGTTGATGACTTACAGTTTGTACGTCCTTATCCAAATCCTTCGACTGGATAAGCTTATCTTCAAAGAAATCCCTTTGGCATCGTGTTGGAGTTAATGAGAGGAGAGGTGCGGCAGAAAAAACAAGGAGGCTAGGGCTCAATCGAAAACCCAACCTTGTATTTTTTGACCCATTGGCAAAACGACGTCGTTTTGCCATTTCCTCTTCTTAACCCCTTCAAGTTTCCAACTTTACAAAAACAGTCCATTGACTTCTAATTTTATCATTTAGCCCCTCAGTAAAAATTGGGCTATGACAATTTCCTTATTTATTAAATTTCATCATTTTCACCAACTGATTACTATTCCTCTATGCAAGTCATCAATAAACCCATGAATCCAAGCTCTTGGGGATATTCGGGAAAACTATGAGAGTAGTAGCTTGGCAGGCATGGATGGGTGAATATTGCCTATCTAGCGAAGCAAGGTATTCACACTAGCGATGTTGCCCAACTTCACGAGAAAGGGCTGGGTGGCGAAGACATGGAGGTAGACTTCACCCTAAAACAATACCTTTTGATGCTAACTAGAAACTTAAAATACTATTCAAAACTAACCAAAGTTGTTATTTTGGTCACTATCAACAACTTGCAGTTATATTCCATGCAAAAGTGGCTGCACAAGTTCCATGGCAGAACCCTCAAATCACCCCTTGACAAATATGGGTAGGGACGGATCCACCCCTCCAAAAAAAGCAGGGACAAATGACACCCCCAAAGTATCGATTTGGTCAAATCGATCATTATCTAACAGATGACGTCATCACCGTCACGATCTCCGTTTAGCTCATGCCAGCGTGTCTTTTTTTTACACGCTGGATGCTTATGTGTACCAATCTCGCTCTTTTCACACACCTAAACCCTCCCAAATTCTTCCTCTCATACCTAGTCTCCGAATCAAACCAAAACCCTCCCAAATTCTTCCTCTCATACCTAGTCTCCGAATCAAACCAAAACCCTCCCAAATTCTTCCTCTCATACCTAGTCTCCGAACCAGGATCAATCCAACTCGGATTATCTGACTCAACAGACCCCTCTTCACTCACATCACCCTCCACAGCAACTGTCTTAGCATACCTACTCTGATTATCAAGAGAGAAGTAATCAGACCTTATCATACCTTCCGTATCCCCTTCAATCCCCTCCAAATTCCTCTTCGGACTCACCCGATCCAAGTCAGAATTCGAACTCTGCAGCAATTCCCAATCCTGAAGCTCCGAATCCATGACCGCCTCGAAATCGTCACCGGATCAAAGAATTGAACCAATAAAAGGAAACCCTAAACAGCAAAGAACATAAAGATGGGAAATTGAGCTGCCGGCTTCCTTAATGGATCGTTGGATTAGAGTATTCGATCGTATATTACCCAGATCGGATTACGGGTCAAGGGTTCGTGGCGGTGAGGCAACCATAGGCGTAGAGAAAAATCAGATTGAAAAGGGGGTTGGTTGGTTGATTTCGGGTCTGTTGCTGGGAGATTGGTTGTGGTTGATCTGGGGGTTTTTCTGGTTGATTTTCGGAGCTGGAAGGGGATTTCTTCTGGTATTGAGTGTGGCCGGTTCTGATTTTGGAGTTTGATTTGGGAGTCATCGTTCTGGGTTTCGGGGGAAAGGAGAGAGAAGAAAACCGAGCTGATTCCGGCGATATTTCAGCCTCCTTTTGCTAGGTATTTTCCTGCAACAGAGGAGTCTTTTTGGGGAGGCAGTGAGGGGAATGTTCTCCTTACCTTTGCCGCTGCTAACAAATCTGATTTAGAAAGAATTCATCTTGAGGGGGACATTAGAAAATTGTATAATGTTTATGGAGAAGAAGAAGAAGAAATAGCAGAAAAAAACAAAATAAAAAAAATTAAGTGAAGTGGGAAAGATACCTGCTTTTTGAGGCAAAGCAATCCAGTTGCCGCCGATGCCATGGGTCTCAACGTAGCGTTTGAGGGTGGTGTCTTCTTCTGGGGACCAAGGTCCTCTCTTGACGTTAGCTTTGTCACAGCATGGAGCTCTTCCCATGATCCCTGCAAGCTAGTTCTCTCTTGCAGTGCTGTCCTTGTGAACCAAACGAGGACAGAAAGAAAAGGACAGACAGAGAAATGAGGAGAAGAAAACTAAGACACGCAAAGAAGAGGTTTAGGTGTGTGAAAAGAGCGGAATTGGTACACATAAGCATCCAGCGTGTAAAAAAAAGACACGCTGGCATGGACTAAACGGAGATCGTGACGGTAATGACGTCATCTGTTAGATAATGATCGATTTGACCAAATCGATACTTTGGGGGTGTCATTTGTCCCTGCTTTTTTTGGAGGGGTGGATCCGTCCTTACCCATATTTGTCAGGGGGTGATTTGAGGGTTCTGCCTACTGTAATTGGTTGTTTTATTGTTTTCCTTTTTTTTTTTCTTTTTTTTTTACAAAGATAATGAATAGAAAATTAGTTTGAATTAATTGTTAATAACTGGGAATTTGATTTTCAGACCGGATGAACATTTCACCTTTTTAAATGAGACGCGCGGCCTGATTTGGTGGAATTCACAACGGTGATAGAACTCAAAACTTCGACCACCTTACTCAAACACTTAAGATTTGAGATTGAACCGTTAAGTCTAAAAGCC